GGGTTGGCATTGGAGGTGCTGGAGCCACTGGTCCTGGAGGTGCTCGTACTGGCAGTACTGGAGCTGCTGGGACAGGAGGTGCTACTGGAGCTACTGGAGGTGCTACTAGTACTGGGGCTGGTGGTGCTGCAGGGGCTGGAGCTGGAGGTGCTGACTCTCGTCCTCCTCCAGGTGCTGGAACCGACGGTGCGGCTGGAGCTGGTGCTACTGACGGTACTGGAGTTGGCACTACTGGAGCTGCTGGTGGTGCTGCAAGATTTGGAGATTCTGCTGGGGGTTCTAGTGCTGTCTCTGCTGGTTCTGGGGACACTCCACAGCCGCGGCCGTACTTCGTTCCGCTCCTTCAGAAGGTTCTAGGTCAGCTGCCTCCTCCTTGTCCTGCTCCCTCCTTGGCTAGTTGATGAGCTTGTCGACTTTGCTGATCGCTGTCGTCTAGACTACATCACGAGTCTTGTTGCTGAGTCTGAGTCTATCTGTCCTCCGTCCGTCGGGGGTGAATGTGCTCTAGGCACGGACGTCCTTGAGGACAGGCAGGAGGAGTTTGAGTGCTTTGCCGCTGCTGTACCTCATCTCGTGTCCATGCTGATTGCACCTGAGGGAGACCCGGATGCACCAGACATCCCGACCCCGCGCTCTTACGATGAGGCAATCGCGGGTGAGTACTCCTCTCATTGGCAGTCAGCCATGGACGCAGAGATGGCATCCTGGAAGTCCACTGGCACTTACGTTGACAAGGTTCCCCCTCCTGGGGCGAACATCGTCAGTGGCATATGGATTTTCAGGGTAAAGCGGCCGCCAGGTTCTCCGCCTGTCTTCAAGGCTCGTTACGTTGCTCGAGGCTTCAGTCAGCGAGAGGGAGTAGACTTCTTCCAGACCTTCTCCCCCACCCCAAAGATGACCACTCTTTGGGTGCTACTGCACATTGCTGCTCAGCGTGACTAAGAGCTTCACTCTCTTGACTTCAGCACAGCTTTCTTGCAGGGCAGCCTGCACGAGGAGATCTGGCTGCGCCGCCCTCCTGGCTTCACTGGGTCGTTCCCTCCTGGTACCCAGTGGAGCCTCCGGCGGCCGGTCTATGGTCTCCGCCAGGCGCCACGTGAGTGGCACAACACACTGAGGACTACACTTGCGGCTCTTAGGTTCGCGCCTTCTACTGCTGACCCATCGTTGTTTCTGCGCACCGACACTTCGCTGCCGCTGTTCTACATCCTCGTGTACATCGACGACTTGGTCTTTGCCACTGCTGACACTGAGGCTCTCGCTCTAGTGAAGTCGGAGCTGCAGAAGAGACACACGTGCACAAACCTAGGTGAACTGCGCAGCTACCTTGGCTTGCAGATCACCCGGGACAGAGCACGCCGCACCATCACACATGGTGCAGCAGGTCCTTCAGCGCTTCGACTTCACCTTGTCCTCGGCACAGGCGACTCCTCTGGCTACAGGTCACTCGCTCTCAGCTCCACCTTTGGACGAGTCCGTAGAGCCGAGTGGTCCTTACCCAGAGCTAGTTGGCTGGCTCATGTACCTGATGACTTGCACTCGTCCTGACCTTGCGTACCCTCTTGGCCTTCTGGCTCGCTACGTGGCTCCTGGTCGGCACCGAAAGGTGCACATGGATGCTGCTAAGAGGGTACTGCGCTACTTGTGCAGTACATCAGGCATGGGGCTCGTGCTTGGAGGGAGGAGCTCAGTTGTTCTCACTTGGCACTCAGACGCTTCTTGGGTTGACGACCAGGCTACCCAGCGGTCGTCACAGGGTTACACCTTCAGCCTTAGCTCTGGTTCAGTTTCTTGATGTTCTACACGCTCGTCTTCAGTTCTCAGCTCCAGCTGTGAGGCTGAGATGTAGGCCACAGCCATGGTTGCACAGGAGTTACGCTAGCTCACCTACCTGCTGACCGACTTGGGAGAGCGGCCTCGTTCTCCTCCAGTTCTGTACGTCGACAACAAGGCTACCATTGCCTTGTGTGAGGAGCACAGACTGGAGCACAGAACGAAGCACATCGCTCTGCGTTACTTCCTCGCTCGAGAGTTGCAGCAGCGTGGTCAGCTTCGTCTGCGTTACGTGGCCACTCGGGCCAACACTGCTGATATATTCACCAAGGCACTTCAGTCTGGTGATCATCAGCGTTTCTGCACTATGCTAGGGCTTGTGCCCACTTTTCCTCACTTGCTTTAGGCTTTGCTTGTACTGTGATCTATATATTTATCTGCATGCTTTCTTTGCTAGGTAGAGATCACTGTGCTATTTGTGTTGCATATATGCCTCTGCATGTGAACTGGCCTTGTGGCCCTTTGCTTGTGCTCAGAGTGTGTGGTGACGTTGTGATCCATCCTGATCTTGCTTTGCCTTTCTTGATTGGTCTTGTGACCCCTTGCTCTCCCCCACTTTGCCTATGGGGGTGTGTCAGATGTTATAGCTGCTACAGTTTGTTTAGGCTGTAGTGGGGTGGTTACTATGGGGTACAGTAAGTTTAGTGTTTCCTACTTGTACCCAACTCTTTCCTAGTTAAATCACTCTTGTTGATTCTAACATCAACGAGCGCGATTGCTGGACTCGCCGCCATCGCAGAAGCAGAACGGGAAGCACCGCCTGAGGAAGGACTATCTCAAGTGGAGTGGGAGACCGCCACACGAGTTGTATTCGGCACGCCGGAACACCCCCTCCTTGGCCCAGCATCACAACACCTTCAAGGCATGCTGCGTGGCGTTGGCATCGGCACCTTCGACTACCACGGAAATCCGCGACCGTATACAGAAGAGAAATTTCTAGAAATCTACTCTCACAAGCACAATACCGGGAAGAAATTACTATGGCGCAGGAGGAGGAATTGGCGCGACGCGAAGCAGAAGATTTTCGTCAATGCGGCCTCGCCGAGTCACGCGGAACATTTGCCTTGAGTGTTTGGGGCAAAGAGGAGAGCGCCTCTAATGAAGGGGGGTGGGGAAGCGCTGGCGGATGGGGCACGAGCGAAATTGGCAGAAATACTAGCGGATGGGGAGCAGCAACTGGCGAATAGGGAGCCGCATCTGGCAGCGAAACAAGTGGCTGGGGAGCTTTCCGCGAGGACCTAAGGGGGGAAGAAGAGCAAGAAGAAGCAGCAGAACATGCAATTGTTCCTCTTGGTCGCCCACCATGCCAGTCTGCACCTACACTACCCCCACCTGACATCCAGCCGGAGCGCGACCCCTGGGACAATATCGATTGGGGCAACGAACCATCTACCCCACGACGCACCGTCTATGGGCCTACCCCCGAGCCTCACGAACCGACACTGGCCCTTAAAACAATCTTGGGGACCAACATCCCCTACTCCATCATCCGCTACAGGGAATTCCTCACATTAATACTGACCACGGGCACCAGCGAGGAGGAAGAAGAAGAAGCAGCACCTGTCCCAGTACCTAATGAAGACTTCGAAGCAGCACGCGCCCGCTACATGCGCACCTCTGGATTTTGAGCCAACGATGCGCTCTGGCATCAGCGCCTCGGCCACCCCTTGCGCGTCACGCTGGAGAACTGCATCAAAATTGGCGTATTCGCACCTGGCACAATCTTGCGTCCTGATGGCTCCAAAGTGAGAGGCGCAACGCTTCCGCTCACCTGCACTGTCTGCCCCGAGGTCGCGTTGAGCCATCAGCCGTTCCCCCTGCTCAAACCTGGAACCAACCGCTATGCTAAATTGGAGAAAGTCTACAGCGACTTCCTCAACATGGGACACTGCGAAATCGACGACAAGCTGTATACACTTACCTTCCTCGACGCTAGAACACGATACGTGTGGGTCGTAAATGTGGAGGCACGCAGCAGAGCATACGAGGCGTTCCGTCTATGGCTGGCACACGCGCAGCGGTAGTCTGGAGAGAAATTAAAGATCTTGTAATCTGACGGCGTAGCAGAGTTCAAAAGCAAGGAGCTGCAGGATTACCTCGGGCAAAAGGGGATCGAGCACCACATTTCTCTCCCCTACGCGCATCAGCAGCAGGGTGTAGCTGAGCGTGTCAAACTTATATGCTATGGTCTATCTAGGCTGTAGTGGGGTAGACACTATACGGTACAACATTTCTAAGTTTCCTACTTGTACCCACATTTTCCTTAGTCATTTCATTCCTCATTTCTTCACATGGTATAGAGCAGGTTCCCTAGTGGGAACGCTTTCTAGGGCCCACCACTGAAATCGAATTTTTTTTTCTGACCGGAGCGCGAGTTGCCCCTGCCCGAGGCGCGCCCCCTTGGCCGCCCTCTTGTCGAGCCCTCCTAGAGGCCCCTCTCACGGCCCTTCGCGCCACCCTTAGCGGCCCCGTCGCCACCCCTAGCGACCCCGTCGCCGCCCTTCTAGGCCCCCTCGAGGCCCCTTCGCAGCCCCGTCGCTGCCCCTAGCGGCCCCGTCGCCGCCCTTCCAGACCCCTCGCGGCCCCTTCGCGGCCCCGTCGCCGCCCCTAGCGGCCCCGTCGCCGCCCTTCCAGGCCCCTCGCGGCCCCTTCGCGGCCCCGTCGCCGCCCCTAGCGGCCCCGTCACCCCCCTTCCAGGCCCCTCGCGGCCCCTTCGCGGCCCCGTCGCCACCCCTAGCGGCCCCGTCGCCGCCCCTAGCGGCCCCGTCGCCGCCCCTCGCGGCCCCGTCGCCGCCCCTCGCGGCCCCGTCGCCGCCCTTTGCGGCCCCGTCGCCGCCCCTAGCGGCCCTGTCGCCGCCCCTTGTGGCCCCGTCGCCGCCCCTTTCGGCCCCCTCCTCGGCCCCTTCACCGCCGAGCCGCCGAGCCGCCAGCAGCCGAACAACCGAGCAGCCGAGCCGCCCAGCAGCCGAGCTGCCGAGCCGCCCAACCGCCGAGCCGCCGAGCCGCCCAGCAGCCAAGCCGCCGAGCCGCCGAGGCCGCCGTCGAGCCGCCACTACCGAGCCCCTGCCGAGCCGCTGCCACCGCGGTTGCCGCCCTCTTCCTTCCGGCGCGCCCCGGCCCTACCCACCCGGACTGGTGAGAGCACTCCCTGCTAGACCACTGCTGTCATGACTACCCCCAGTGTCCTTACCTTTGATGCTGAGGGTCGTGCTGTTGACTTCGAGGTCTTGGTCGATGACCTACAGCTCTTCCTACAGTGCGATAGGGGAGACGGACTCTCCCTGTTCGATCTCACCTCCGGTGCCTCTCCTGCCCCACCTGCTGATGCTAACAGCACTGTTCGCTCACAGTGGGCCACCCGCGATGCTGCTGCGCGTCTTGCTGTGCGTCGCCACTTACCGACCACTGAGCGTGCACACTTTAGTCAGTACAAGAGTGCTAAGACCTTGTACGACACTGTAGTTGCACGCTACTCTTCCCCTGCCACTGCTGCCATTAGCCGCCTCATGTTGCCGTACCTGTTCCCTGACTTCGCCGCCTTTCCCACAGTCGCTGACCTCATTACGCACCTTCGCACTAATGATACCCGCTACCGCGTTGCGCTTCCTGCTGAGTTCTGCGCTAAGAACCCCCCCCCCCCCATGTACATCACCCTCTACTACATAGTCACCCGGCTCCCTGACTCCCTTCGCTCGGTCAGGGACCAGTTCCTCTCGGTTTGCCCCACCACACTCACCGTTGACCTCCTCGAGGAGCGCCTCCTGGCAGCTGAGAAGAGTATAGTCGTTGTAGGAGCCTCTCGTGGTGACCCTCGTGCCCCCTTCTTTGAGGGGTGCTCCCCCTCCCCCCTGTTGCCCTCTGTTGCCTCTGCTGGTGCCGTCGACCTCGTTGGCTTCGAGTCGGTCGGAGCTGCGTCTGCCCCTAGCGGGAGACGCCGCACCGGCAAGGGCAAGGGGGGCAAGGGCGCTGGAGGGGCTGGCGGGGGCGGTGGAGGTGGCGGTGGAGGCAGTGGAGGGGGTGGGGGTGGTGGTGGGAGTGGTAGCGGGGGTGGAGGTGTCGGTGGCGGCAGTGGAGGCGGAGGAGGCGGCGGCGGTGGCGGCGGGAGCGGCGGCGGCGCTGGCGGAGGGAGCGCCAGTGGCGGAGGTGGCGGAGGCAGCAGCGGCAGCGGTGGAGCTGGTCGCGGCTCCGCGCAGAGGAGTGGCTCCGGTGGCGGTCCGCGCCAGCTGCAGCAACGCACTCGTAAGACCCCGTCCCCCCAGCAGCTTCGTGAGTGGTACGCTGCGCGTCAGCGAGGTGGGGGTACTGGTCCCTGTACCTACGTCCTCCGTACCGGCGACCGCGCTGGTGAGCAGTGCGGGGGCTCGCACTCCACCCAGCGCTGCTTCGGCCGCCTGACGGACGCTTGGCGTCACCAGTTCCCTGACGCCACTGAGATCCCTCGTTGGGGAGAGCTGTCTAGGGCGGGGGTTGCTATCTTTGATCTTGACTATGATGCTATTCTTGCTGCCATGTATGCTGTGTCTACTAGGGATGAGGGTGACTGTTAGCTGTGTGTTCCGCCTGACCCGGGCATTGAGGCTACTGCTCTAGGTGCTGGTGAGGCTGTTGCTTTAGGTGCTTGTGCGTCTGCTGCCCCAGGTGCTGGTGAGTCTGCTCTCTCAGGTACCACGTCGGCTCAGGCCTTACACACCTTCACCCTTGACTCGGGTGCTTCCCGCTCCTTCTTTCGAGACCGCACCACGCTTACGCCGCTTAGTCGGCCGATTGCGGTCTCCCTGGAGGACCCCTCTGAGGGTCCTGTCCTTGCTCACTTCTCCATTGTCTTACCGTGTCCGGCAGCCCCCTCTGGCACCTTGTCAGGTCTCTACCTCCCCTCGTTCTCTACGAACTTGGTGAGTGGTGCTGACCTACAGGATGGGGGGGTTGACCCGTTCACTCCTGCGGGTCAGCGGGTGACCCACTGTACGTGTGCTCGGACGGGCCGACACTTGGCCACGTTCACCCGTCGGCCGGGGTCGAGCCTGTACACACTGACTACTGAGTCTCCTTCGGTTGCCGAGTCTGGTCAGGTAGCTGCGTCGAGTCAGGTGTTTGCTGCAGCGTCTAGGTCTGGTCCTGAGTCTGCTCCCTGCTCGTGTCGTCTCCTGTCCCACCAGACTCTCCTCTGGCACCACCGCCTTGGTCACCCCTCCCTGCCTTGTCTCCGAGGTATGGCCTCACGTGTCCTTGTCTTTGGTCTCCCCGGGTCCCTCCCTCCCCTCCCTCTGGGGCGTGCCCCTACCTGCGTTACCTGCGTTGAGGGGCGGCACTGGAGCTGGCGGTCCTGCTGGAGCTAGAGCTGCTGGAGCTTGAGCAGCTGGGGGTGTTGGCGCTGGAGGTACTGCTGGCGTTGGTGCTTCTGAGGGTGCTAGAGTTGGCGCTGTTGGAGCTGGAGGTGCTGCTTGCGCTGGTGCTTCTGACGGTGCTGGAGTTGGCGCTGTTGGAGCTGGAGGTGCTGCTGGCGCTGGTGCTACCACTAGGGGTACTAGTGCTGTCCCTGCTGGTTCTGGAGGTGCTGCGCGGCCGCGACCGTACTTCGTTCCGCTCCTTGAGCAGGTTCTTGGTCTCCCGCCCTCTACTGGTCCTCCTCCTTCCTTAGAGTGTCCACCGCCTGTCCAGTCTGAGTCACTGTTACAGCCCGCCTCCCCACTGCCTGCTCGTTCTCCCTACACTAGTCCTACTGGAGGTCTTGCTGAGCGTCGTGAGCCTGCGTCTCGTCCTGCGTTGCCTGTTCGCCGTGCTGCTCGCACTAGTAGTCGTGCTCCGCGTCCGCGTCCTCCTGCCGTCCCGGGCACACACCGGATGGCACTGCGTCTTTCCACTGCTCCTCTACGTGTCCCGTTGCCGTCTCCTCCAGAGTCCTCTCTTCCTATCCTTGCTGACCCGGAGTCTAACTCTCTTCCTGCTGCCAGTCCTACTATCACGCGTCACCTGGCTACTATTGTCACTGACCCTTTCTTTGAGTCCACTGCTGCGTTTGCCTTAGTTGCTGAGCTTGTCGACTTTGCTGCTCGCTGTCGTCTAGACTACGCCACAAGTCTTGTTGCTGAGTCTGAGTCTGTCTATCCTCCATCCGTTGGGGGTGAGTGTGCTCTTAGCACGGACTTCCTTGAGGACAGGCAGGAGGAGTTCCAGTGTTTTGCTGCTGCTTTGCCTCATCTCGTGTCCACGCTGATTGCCCCTGAGGGAGACCCGGATGCACCAGACATCCCGCCTCCTCGATCGTACGCTGAAGCGATCGAGGGTCCCTACTCCTCACAGTGGCAGTCAGCCATGGACGCAGAGATGGCTTCTTGGAAGTCCACAGGCACCTACGTCGACGAGGTTCCCCCACCTGGGGCGAACATCGTCAGTGGCATTTGGATTTTCAGGGTGAAGCGGCCGCCGGTTTCTCCGCCTGTCTTCAAGGCGCGTTACGTGGCTCGAGGCTTCAGTCAGCGGCAGGGAGTTGACTACTTTCATACCTTCTCTCCTACCCCGAAGATGACCACTTTTCGGGTGCTGCTGCACATAGCCGCTCAGCGCGACTACGAGCTTCACTCTCTTGACTTCAGCACAGCTTTCCTGCAGGGCAGCCTGCACGAGGAGATCTGGCTGCGCCGCCCACCTGGCTTCACTGGGTCGTTTCCTCCAGGTACCCAGTGGAGCCTCCGGCTGCCAGTCTACGGTCTCCGCCAGGCGCCCCGTGAGTGGCATGACACATTGAGGACTACACTTGCGGCTCTTGGGTTTGCTCCTTCTACTGCCGACAAGTCGCTGTTTCTGCGCACCGACACCTCTTTGCCGCCGTTCTACATCCTCGTGTACGTCGACGACTTGGTCTTTGCCACTCCTGACACTGTTGGACTCGCCCACGTGAAGTCCGAGCTGCAGAAGAGACACACGTGCACAGACCTGGGTGAACTGCGCAGCTACCTTGGCTTGCAGATCACCCGGGACAGAGCACAGCGCACCATTACCCTGACTCAGTCACACATGGTGCAGCAGGTCCTTCAGCGCTTCGACTTCACGTACTCCTCGCCTCAGGCCACTCCTTTGTCTACTCGCCACTCGCTCTCAGCTCTGACTTTGGATGAGTCCGTAGAGCCAAGTGGCCCGTACCTAGAGCTTGTTGGCTGCCTCATGTACCTGATGACCTGCACACGACCTGACCTTGCATACCCTCTTAGCATCTTGGCACGCTATGTTGCTCCTGGGAGACACCGACCAGAGCACATGGCTGCAGCAAAGAGGGTGTTGCGCTAGTTGTGCAATACGTCGGGCATGGGGCTAGTGCTTGGAGGGCGACGGTGAGTGGTCCTCACAGGTCACGCAGACGCTTCTTGGGCTGACGACGAGGCTACGCAGCGGTCGTCACAGGGTTACACCTTCAGCCTTGGTTCCGGCTCTGTTTCGTGGCGGTCTACCCGCTCGTCTTCTGTTCTCGGCTCTAGCTGTGAGGCTGAGATCTACGCGGGGGCCATGGCTGCACAGGAGCTACGCTGGCTCACCTACCTGCTGACTGACCTAGGAGAGCCGCCTCGTTCTCCTCCAGTTCTGTACGTAGACAACAAGGCCATGCTGGCCTTGTGTCGGGAGCACAGACTGGAGCATAGAACGAAGCACATTGCTCTTCGCTACTTCCTTGCTCGTGAGCTGCAGCAGCGTGGTCAGCTGTGCCTTGCTTACGTGGCCTCTGAGGCCAACACTGCTGATATCTTTACCAAGGCACTTCCGCCTTGTGATCATCAGCGCTTCTGTACAATGCTAGGTCTTGTGCCTACTTGGCCTCACTTGCTCACTTCTTGACCTTGCTTGTACTGTGATCTTTCAATACGTGCACTTGATTGGTTACCTTTATCTATGATCTTTCATGTGAACTGGCCTGGTGGCCTTGATCTTGTGCTCGGAATGTGTGGTGACGTTGTGATCCAACCTGAGCTTGCTTTGCTTTGCTTGACTGGTCTTTTGACCTCTTGTTCTCCCCCACTTTGCCTATGGGGGTGTGTCAAACTTATATGCTATGGTCTATCTAGGCTGTAGTGGGGTAGACACTATAGGGTACAACATTTCTAGGTTTCCTACTTGTACCCACATTTTCCTTAGTCATTTCATTCCTCATTTCTTCATAGAGCGTACCAATCGCAGGCTCATGACAAAGGTGCTCGCGCTGATGAAGCAGTCGAAGCTTCCGAAGATTTTACTGGACGTACGCGATGCACCACGCCGTACGGGTGCACAATCTGCTATCAACTACAGCAATCACCGGCAACCTCTCTCCGCATGTGAAGTGGACGGGGACCAAGGGCGATACCTCCATGCTCCGCGTGTGGGGTTGCATGGTTCAGTACCGCCCGCCAACATCAACCATCGGCAAATTCAGGAGCCGCGCGAAATGGGGGATCCACCTCGGTATCAGCCACGAGTACAAGGCGTGGCTCATCCTGGACCTCTTGAGCCAGAAGATCAAAAATGCGCACGACGTCATTTTCTACGAGCGCCTCTTCCTTCAGCAGTTCCGCGAAGACGAGCAAGCGAACGCGAACCGCGTATACGCCAACGACGGCCACAGCTACGCCAGGCCAAAAGACAAAGCTGCTGCGGCCATCCTGGAGCATCATCCCAAAGGGGAGTTCACGAGAGGCGATCGTCGCGACGACGACCATGACGACAATTCATCCAAAGGAGGAGCGGGCGCAGCAGGAGGCGCAACAGGAGGCAGCGAAAGCGGTGGAGGCACAGCACCACCAGCCCTACCTGAGCTGGAGAGTGACGACGACGACGTGCAGGAGGTCGTCCCGCAGAATCGCCACGATAGCACCGTCACTGGAATGCAACTCCTCGGACTTCACACCGCCACCTCAACGGCGCCGCGCATCATCGAACCAAAGAACCCGCGCCAAGCTCTCACGGGACACCGCAGCAAGGAGTGGCGTGAGGCGATGGACATGGAGATCAGGGCACTCGAGTCACGCGACACCTGGGTACTCGTCGATCGCGCAGCAGTTAAGGGAAGGAGGATCCTCTCTGGCAAATGGGTTTTTCGTGTGAAGACCGCAGCTGACGGCACGATCGAGCGATTCAAGGCACGTTGGGTAGTGTGCGGCTACGATCATAGATACGGCATTGACTTCAACTAGACATTCGCACCGGTCAGCCGTCATACCTCCGTCACAATTCTCCTCGCCATGGCCGCAGCACGGCACCTTTCGCTCCGACAAATCGATATGAAGAACGCGTTCCTGTACGCATTAGTGGATGCAGTGATCTACATGGAGCAGCCGCACACATACGGCGAAGGGGATTCACGCGTTTGCTAGCTACAAAAAAACCCTTTACGGGATCAAACAGGCGCTGTGGCTCTGGCAGCAGTTCCTGCACAACATACTGCTTGAAATCGGGTTCAAGCAGCTGCCTCACGACCCTGGGATGTATCGGCGCGATTTCCGCGGTGAATACATCCTACTCACGGTTTATGTCGACGACCTCCTCTACACATGGTCAAGCAACGAACTACTTGAGCAGTTCGAGAAAAACCTCACGGGGCGCGTCGATATTACCTGCAGCCACGACGTGAAGCAATTCATCGGGCTCAACATCTCGTACTCGCCCGAAGCCATTCGTCTCTCAGCAGCCAAGTACGCAGAGGAACTTAACAAGCGCTTCAATATTCCGCCTGCACCACTATCCACCCCTAACCACACTCCAGGACCCAACCACAAGCCTGACAACAAAGCCCTGTCCCCTGCCGAGCTGCACACCTACCAACAGCAGTTGGGATGCCTGCTCTTTGCATCTGTTACCTGCAGACCCGACCTTTCCTGCATCGCGAGCCAGTTGGCCCAGTATTTCCGCAAACCAACGGCTGAAAATCTCTCAGACCTTCAGCGAGCACTCCAATTCTTCATCTCCACGCCCAATGTGGGGCTCTGTTACTCCACCATCCCAACCGCATCCTTCAACCTCATCGGCTGACCCCGACAATCAACGGTCCAGGACAGGCTTCCTTTTCCGCCTCGAGCCCAGCAACCCCATCTCCTGGAATTCACAGAAGCAGGATCTGGTTGCCCTGTCATCGGCGGAAGCTGAGTTCATCGTGTTGAACTTATATGTTATAGCTTGTCTAGGCTATAGTGGGGTAGACACTATGGGGTACAATTTCCTAGGGTTTCCTACTTGTACCCAACCTTGTGCTAGTTCATTCATTCCTCATTTCTTCACATGGTATAGAGCAGGTTCCCTAGTGGGAACGCTTCCTAGGGCCCACCACGATCTTTTTTTTCCTGCCCGGAGCGCGCTTTGCTCCTGCCCGAGTCGCGCCCCGTGTGCCCTCCCTACCGTCGCGCCCTCTCACAGCCCCTCACGGCCCCTTCGCGTCGCCCTTAGCGGCCCCTCTCACGGCCCCTCGCGCCGCCCTTACGGCCCCTTACGGCCCCTCACGCCGCCCGTCGGCCCCTCGCGCCGCCCTTGCGGCTCCTTACGGCCCCTCGCGCCGCCCTTACGGCCCCTCGCGCGGCCCCTTCCGGCCCCTCGCGGTGCCCTTACGGCCCCTTACGGCCCCTCGCGCCGCCCTTCGCGGCCCCTCCCGGCCTCTTTACGGCCCGTCGCCACCCTCCGCGGCACCTCGCGCCGCCCTTCACGGCCCCTTCGCCGCCCTTCGCGGCCTCTCGCGGCCCTATCGCCGCCCTTCGCGGCCACCTTGCCGCCCTTAGCAGCCCTCGCTGCCGCCCCTAGCGGCCCCATCGCCGCCTCTACCGGCCCCTTCACCGCTGAGCCGCCCAGCAGCTGAGCCGCCCAGCAACCGAGCCGCCCAGCAGCTGAGCCGCCGAGCCGCCCAGCGACCGAGCCGCCGAGCTGCCGAGCCGCCCAACAACCGAGCTGCCGAGCCGCCCAGCAACTAAGCTGCTGAGCCGCCCAACAGCCGAGCCGCCCAGCAGCCGAACCGCCGAGCCGCCCTGCCGCCGAGCCGCACAGCAACCGAGCCGCCGAGCCGCCGAGACGCCCAGCAGCCGAGCCGCCGAGCCGCCGAGCCGCCCAGCAGCCGAGCCGCCGAGCCGCCAAGCCACCCAGCAGCTGAGCCGCCCAGCAGCCCTGCCATTGAGCTGCTACTGTTCCTACCGGCGCGCCCCGGCCCTACTTACTTGGACTGGTGAGATCCCTCCCTGCTAGGCCACTGCAGTCATGGCTACCCCCAGTGTTCTTACCTTTGATGTTGAGGGTCGTGCTGTTAACTTTGAGGACTCGGTCGATGACCTCCAGCTGTTCCTACAGTGCGATAGGGCTGACGGACTCTCGCTGTTTGATCTCACCTCTGGTGCCTCTCCTGCCCCGTCTACTACTGCTGAAAGCACTGTTCGCTCACAGTGGGCCACACGCAATGCTGCTGCCCATCTTGCTGTGCGTCGCCACTTACCGACCACTGAGCGTGCGCACTTTAGCCAGTACAAGAGTGCTCAGACCTTGTACGACGCAGTAGTTGCAGGCTACTCCTCCCCTTCCACTACTGCGCTTAGCCGCCTCATGCTGCCGTACCAGTTCCCTGACCTTGCTTCCTTTCCCACAGTCGCTGACCTCATTACGCACCTTCGCACTAGTGACACTCGCTACCGCGCTGCGCTTCCTACTGAGTTCTGTGCCAAGAACCCCCCCCCCCCCCCCATGTACATCACCCTCTACTACATAGTCACCCGGCTCCCTGACTCCCTTCGCTTAGTCAGGGACCACTTCCTCTCAGTTTGCCCCACCACACTCACCGTTGATCTCCTCGAGGAGCGCCTCCTAGCAGCAGAGAAGAGCATAGTCGCTGTAGGAGCCTCTCGTGGTGACCCTCGCACCCCCGTCTTTGAGGGGTGTTCCCCTTCCCCCCTCCTGCCCTCTGTTGCTTCTGCTGTTGCGGCCGACCTCGTTGGTTTCGAGTCGGTCGGCGCGGCGTCTGCCCCTAGCGGGAGACGCCGCACCGGCAAGGGCAAGGGGGGCAAGGGCGCTGGAGGGGCTGGCGGGGGCGGTGGAGGTGGTGGTGGAGGCAGTGGAGGGGGTGGGGGTGGTGGTGGGAGTGGTGGCGGGGTTGGAGGTGTCGGTGGCAGCAGTGGAGGCGGAGGAGGCGGCGGCGGTGGCGGAGGGAGCGGAGGCGGCGGAGGTGGTGGAGGCGGCGGAGGTGGCGGAAGCGGCGGAGGTGGCGGAGGCGGCGGCGGCAGCGGTGGAGCTGGTCGCGGCTCTGCGTAGAGGAGTGGCTCCGGTGGTGGTCCGCTCCAGCAGCAGCAGCGCAGTCGTGAGACCCTGTCCCCTCAGGAGCTTCGTGAGTGGTACGCTGCGCGTCAGCGCGGTGGGGGTACTGGTCCCTGTACCTACGTCCTCTGTACCGGCAACCGCACTGGTGAGCAGTGCGGGGGCCCGCACTCCACCCAGCGCTGCTTCGGCCGCGTGACGGACGCGTGGCGTCACCAGTTCCTTGATGCCACTGAGATCCTTCGCTGGGGAGAGCTGTCTAGGGCGGGGGTTGCTGTCTTTGATCTTGATTATGATGCTATTCTTGCTGCCATGTATGCTGTGTCTGATAGTGTTGAGGGTGACTGTTACCTGTGTGTTCCGCCTGACCCGGGCATTGAGACTGCTGCTCTAGGTGCTGGTGAGGCTGCTGCTCTAGGTGCTAGTGCGTCTGCTGCCCCAGGTACTGGTGAGTCTGCTCTCTCAGGTACTACGTCGGCTCAGGCCTTACATACCTTCACCCTTGACTCGGGGGCTTCCCGCTCCTTCTTTCGAGACCGCACCACGCTTACGCCGCTTAGTCGGCCGGTTGCGGTCTCCCTGGAGGACCCCTCTGGGGGTCCTGACCTTGCTAGCTTCTCCACTGTCTTACCGTGCCCAGCCGCCCCCTCTGGCACCCTGTCAGGTCTCTACCTCCCCTCGTTCTCTACGAACTTGGTGAGTGGAGCTGATCTACAAGACAGGGGGGTTGACCAGTTCACTCCTACGAGTCAGCGGGTGACCCACTGCACGTGTGCTCGCACAGGCCGACACTTGGCCACGTTCACCCGTCGGCCGGGGTCGAGCCTGTACACACTTACTACTGAGTCTCCTCCTGCTGCTGAGTCTGGTCAGGTAGCTGCGTCGAGTCAGCTGTTTGCTGCAGCGTCCAGGTCTGGTCCTGAGTCTGCTCCCTGCTCGTTTCGTCTCCTGTCCCACCAGACTCTCCCTTGGCACCACCGCCTTGGTCACCCCTCCCTGCCTCGTCTCGGAGGCATGGCCTCCCGTGTCCTTGTTGAGAAGAATAGAACGAGAATGAAATGACTAGGAATGAAGTGAGTACAAATATGAAACCCTAATGGGATTGTACCCCCTATGGGATACCCCACTATAGCCTACACAAATAAGTAAGCTATAATGTTCTGACACACCCCAATAGGCAAAGTGGGGGAGAACAAGGGGTCACAAGACCAGTCAAGCAAAGCAAAGCAAAGCTCAGGGTGGATCACAAAGTCACCACACATTCCGAGCACAAGTTCAAAGGCCAGAAGGCCAGTTCACATGCAAGATCACATATAGAGATATACAAGAGTCAAACAAGCAAGAGCAAGAGTATATATAGGTAAAGGTACAAGCAAGGTCAAGAAGTGAGCAAGTGAGGCAAGAGAGGCACAAGACCCAGCTGCGTGCAGCAGCGCTGATGATCACAAGGCGCAAGTGCCTTGGTGAAGACATCAGCAGTGTTGGCCTCAGAGGCCACGTACGCAAGTCGCAACTGTCCACGCTGCTGTAGCTCACGAGCAAGAAAGTAGCGGAGAGCAATGTGCTTTGTCCTGTGCTCCAGTCGCTGCTCTCGACACAAGGCCAGCATGGCCTTGTTGTCTACGTACAGGACTGGAGGAGAACGAGGCGGCTCTCCAAGGTCGGTCAGCAGGTAGGTGAGCAAGTGAAGCTCCTGGGCCGCCATAGCCCCGGCGTAGATCTCAGCCTCACAAGTGGAGCCGAGAACAGAAGACGAGCGGGTAGCCCGCCACGAAACAGAGCCGGAACCAAGGCTGAAGGTGTAACCCTGTGACGACCGCTGCGTAGCCTGGTCGTCAGCCCAAGAAGCGTCCGCGTGCCCAGTGAGGACCACTGGTCTGCGCCCTCCAAGCACTAGCCCCATGCCCGACGTACTGCACAAGTAGCGCAACACCCTCTTCGCTGCAGCCATGTGCTTTGGTCGGTGTCTCCCAGGAGCAACATAGCGTGCGAGAATGCTAAGAGGGTATGCAAGGTCAGGTCGTGTGCAGGTCATCAGGTACATGAGGCAGCCAACAAGCTCTGCATACGGGCCACTCGACTCTACGGACTCATCCGAAGGCAGAGATGAGAGCGAGTGGCGAGTAGGCAGAGGAGTGGCCTGAGGCGAGGAGTACGTGAAGCCGAAGCGCTGAAGGACCTGCTGCACCATGTGTGACTGAGTCAAGGTAATGGTGCGGCGTGCTCTGTCCCGGGTGATCTGCAAGCCAAGGTAGCTGCGCAGTTCACCCAGGTCAGTGCACGTGTGTCTCTTCTGCAGCTCGGACTTCACGTAGGCGAGTCCAGCAGTATCAGCAGTGGCAAAGACCAAGTCGTCGACGTACACGAGGATGTAGAACGGCGGCAGAGAGGTGTCGGTGCGCAGAAACAGCGACGAGTCTGCAGTGGAAGGAGCAAACCCAAGTGCCGCCAGCGTAGTCCTCAGTCTGTCGTGCCACTCACGCGGCACCTGGCGGAGACCGTAGACTGGACGCCGGAGACTCCACTGGGTACCACGAGGGAAAGACCCAGTGAAACCAGGTGGGCGACGCAGCCAGATCTCCTCGTGCAGGCTGCCCTGCAAGAAAGCAGTGCTGAAGTCGAGAGAGTGCAACTCGTAGTCACGGTGAGGAGCAACGTGCAGCTGTACCCGAAGAGTGGTCATCTTCGGGGTGGGGGAGAAGGTCTGAAAGTAGTCAACTCCCTGCCGCTGACTGAAGCCACGAGCCACGTAACGTGCCTTGAAGACAGGCGGAGAACCCGGCGGCCGCTTCACCCTGAAAATCCACATGCCACTGACGATGTTCGCCCCAGGAGGGGGGAGAGCGTTAACGTAGGTGCCTGTGGACTTCCAGGACGCCATCTCTGCATCCATAGCTGCCTGCCACTGAGAGGAGTAGGGACCCTCTATCGCCTCTGCGTAAGAGCGCGGAGTCGGGATGTCTAGTGCATCCGGGTCTCCCTCAAGGGTAAGCAGTACTGACGCGAGATGAGGTGAAGCGGCGGCCATACACTGGAACTCCTCCTGCCTGTCCAAGAAGAGCGGGGGTGGGGGGAGGGACGGAGTGCGGTAGGGGAAGAGGCGGTAGTAGGGTACCGACTCGTGGAACATGACGTCCTGGGAGGTCAGAACACGGCGAGAGGTGGGGTGGTAGAACTGCCACCCAGGGGCGTCGGGGGGGGAACCCCAAGAAGACGCAGGGAGCAGCGCGAGGGGACAGCTTGTGCGCAGACAAGTCGCGGACAAACGCCCGAGATCCCCAGACACGGAACGCCGACGCATTGCCAACCTTCCCCGTCCACAGCAGAGCTGGGGAGGTCTCCGGCCTGGAGACCCTGGGGTGGAGGTTGATCTGATGCGCCGCGTACCGGACTGCAAACGACCACAGAAAATGGGGGGCAGCCGCATGCATCATAGACGTACGAGCGACGTCCATGGCCATGCCAATGCGGCGCTCTGCAATCCCATTTTGCTGCGGTGAGTCCGGAAGCGTGAAGGTCTGACGGATCCCTCGCGCAAGACAGTAGGCACGCAGAAGGCCAGAGGAGAACTCTTCGCCTCTGTCCGAGTGCAGACGCAGCACAGGAAAGTCCGAGCCAAAGCTCTGCCTGAGCTGGAGATGAGCTGCGCGGATCCAGTCGATCAGCACCTCAGTGACATCACCCTTGCTGCGCAAGGGGAAGACTGTGGTGTAACGCGAGTAGTCGTCTACCACCAACAGGAAGTAGCGCTCGTGACCGAGTCCACGGACGCGGGCAGGGCCCCACACGTCCATGTGAAGCGTATGCAACGGAGCCTCTGTCGGAGGAAACTGGGAGGAGTGAGGGGCAGCACGCAGGCGCCCCTCGACACAGGGGACACAGGCAGGGCCAGGGCCCTGAGGAAGGGGAGGGAGGGACCGGGGGAGACCAGAGACAAGAAGATGGGAGGCCATGCCTTTGAGCCGAAGCAGAGAGGGGTGACCCAGGCGGTGGTGCCAGAGGAGAGTCTCGTGAGACAGGCGACGACACGAACAGGGGGCAGACTCAGGACCAGACCTGGACGCTGCAGCAAACACCTGACCTGACGAAGGGACCCTACCAGACTCAGGAACTGGAGGAGAAGCAATGGTCAGTGTGTACAGGCTCGACCCTGGCTGACGTGTAAACGTAGCCAGGTGACGGCCTGTGCTAGCCTCTGTGCAGTGCGTCACCCGCTGACGAGCAGGGGTGAACTAGTGGACTCCCGCATCCTGAAGGTCAGCACCACTCACCAAGTTCGTAGAGAATGAGGGGAGGTAGAGACCAGACAGGGTGCCAGAGGGAGCCGCCGGACACGGGAGGACGGTGGAGAAGCGAGACAGGACAGGACCCCCAGAGGGGTCAGCCAGGGACACCGCAACCGGCCGACTAAGCGGCGTGAGTGTGGTGCGGTCTCGAAAGAAGGAGCGAGACGCTCCAGAGTCAAGAGTGAAGGTGTGGGAGGCCGAGGCCGACGCAGTACCTGAGGGCGCAGACGCACTGGTACCTGAGAGAGCAGCCTCACCAGTACCTGAGAGCACAGACGCACTGGCACCTAGAGCAGAAGCCTCACTGACACCTAGAGCAGCAGTACCAATGCCCGGGTCGGGCGGGAAACACCGGTAACAGTCACCCTCATCACTAATGGTCACAGCATACATGGCAGCAAGGATAGCATCAAAGTCAAGATCAAAGATAGCGACACCAGCCCTAGATAGCTCTCCCCAACGAGGGATCTCCGCGGCCTCCTGGAACTGCTAACGCCAAGCGTCCGTCAGGCGGCCAAAGCAGCGCTGGGCGGTGTGGGTACCCCCACACTGCTCTCCAGCACGGTCGCCAGTGCGAAGGACGTAGGTGCAGGGACCAAAACCCCCACCACGCTGACGCTGGGTGTACCACTCACGGAGCTGCTGAGGCGTCCGGAGGTCGCATGAATGCTGCTGCTGCTGCTGCTGCTGGCGCTGACCACCCCCAGTGCTGCTCCGCTGCGAAGCGCCACTCCGACCACCTCCACCACCGCCACCGCCACCGCCACCCCCGCCTCCGCCTCCACCGCCGCCGCCTCCGCCACCTCCGCTCCCACCGCCACCGCCGCCGCCACCCCCGCCCCCACTGCCGCCACTAGCACCCCCACCCCCGCCACCACCTCCACCGCCACCCCCACTCCCTCCGCCGCCTCCACCGCCACCTCCACCGCCCCCGCTGGCCCCACCCGCTCCCTTGCCCCCCTTGCCCTTGCCAGAGCGGCGTCTCCCGCTAGGGGCAGACGCCGCACCGACCGACTCAAGACCAACGAGGTCGGCCGCAGCGGCAGAGGCGACAGAGGGCAGGAGAGGGTAAGGAGAACACCCCTCAAAGATGGGGGCGCGGGGGTCACCTCGAGAGGCTCCTACAGCGACTATGCTCTTCTCAGCAGCTATGAGGGCCTTCTCGAGGCTGCCGACTGTGAGGGTGGTGGGACAGACCGCGAGGAAGTGGTCCCGGACTACACGAAGGGAGTCAGGGAGGCGAGTGACCAAAAAGTAGAGAGTGATGTACATGGGGGGGGGGGGTTCTTGGCGCAGAAGTCAGCAGGAAGCGCAGCGCGGTAGCGAGTGTCACTAGTGCGGAGGTGCGTAATGAGGTCAGCGACAGTGGGAAAGGCGGCAAGGTCAGGGAAGAGGAAGGGGAGCATGAGGCGGCTCAGTGCAGCAGTGGCAGGGGAGGAGTAGCGCGCAACTACAGCGTCGTACAAGGTCTGGGCACTCTTGTACTGGCTAAAGTGCGCGCGCTCAGCGGTAGGCAGGTGGCGACGCACAGCAAGACGTGCAGCAGCATCGCGCGTGGCCCACTGTGAGCGAACAGTGGCGTCGCATCAGCAGCAGGGGCAGGGACGGCGCCAGAGGTGAGGTCAAAGAGAGAAAGACCGTCTGCCCTATCGCACTGTAAGAACAGCTGCAGGTCGTCGAGCCAGACCTCAAAGTCAATGGCACGACCCTCAGCGTGAAAAGCTAGGACACTAGGGGTAGCCATGACTGCAACCGGCGATCTCACCAGACAGGACG